AATTGAGGAGGATTTATGTTAAAATTTAATCTAATCTTATTTCGTTACGACTTTACCTATGTAGGTAAGTTTACATGGTAATTAATAGCATTTTTTTATCTGCATGTTTGGGGGGTTATACATTTCACTTAGCATACCTATATATCAATAATTTAACGGATAGGGCGATAGATGTGTTAATTGCTGCACTAAAGTTATAGCGAGATATTAAAAACATTATTTACTAACGTAAAAATCAACAAAATGGCCTATAAGTTCTTTATTCAAATATTAAATTTATTCATTTTCATAATGGGAGTCATAGACAAGTGTTAGATTTTTTTAAGATGATCTACAGATAAAACTGATGATATAAAAACTTTTTAGATCATGTATCTTTACAGCTATCGATAGTAAGCCATAGTTAGTATTTAATGGCCCCTAAGGAAGAATCTATTAGTTTGGTACGATGGTCCGGATTTATAGCCCAATCTCTCATGTTATGTATGAAACGTGGAAGTTTATGGCATCTGTAGAGTATCCACTATCCCGCTGAATAGAATATACAGAGATAAGATACATTGTTATGTTTTAGATGTAGATGTGATATTAGTAATGAATAATGGGGAGAGAAGAAATATTTTGTGTTCAATTCAATATAACCATTAATATTCACTTGTAACTATAGTTAACGTGCTTTATGAGTGTAGGAAGTTAATACAGCCAACGATAATCTCTTATGATGCACTGAGTGAGTGGTTTACACCCAAATAATTATGTAACCGAAAAATAATCATTAAACTGTAGTGACAAACACTAGATAAATAGGGAATTCTTATTTTATTTTTAGTTGTGCTATTAAACTTTTTTCCAATGTAGGTGCACGTGGCTATTTAACATGTTATGAATCTTTAGGTAAATTTCGCTAAATTGGTTTTTTATTTACAGACCTTTAAAAAAAACTGTAAATAAAAACAATCGACATCTCTCGCATTGGTTTCATCCATGCCATCTTTTGCGCAAAATTGCTACTTTAGTAAGATACCTTTGTCAGTAGATTTTAAAGTTCAATTTAAAAGTATCAAATATGAATTTACGCAAACAAACGCAGTGTTAGACGCCCACAGCCCAGGTTGAGTCACGATTTGCGTAAAATGGATGCGAGAAGCCGAAAATTAATCGAAGTGGCGTGCAATAGGAGAGGCCTATGTTCAGCAGTGCACTGCGATAGGCTGATGTTGATGATGATGATATTCAATTTAACATAGAATTCAATAATATTTCGTCATTTACTGGTTCTACTATACCGTTTTAAAATATAACCATACCTTCCTGTAACACAGTGTATGAGTTGCTAGGGTGTGGTAAGATAAAATCAAATAATATTTACCACGTACCCGTTTTTAAAACACTTTGGATCAGAACATGTACGACAAAAAACCCGGAAATCATTCAAAACACCCCAATTTTTCATATATTTTTTTTATAATCGCTGAAATTATAAAGGGTTGTTTACAGAAACAAGCAACAGAGCGTAGCACATTAGGCTCGCGGGAGCGGGCGCGAATCATATTAATGTTGGCTATTAAACATCGAGCACTCGATAAATTCCCTGGGGCGATAGAATACCGATTTATCCGCGTATCGCCCGCGTTTCAATGATATATCGCGCCCGCGTGCTCCTCCCACTATGTACCGATATTGTGTTCACGGCTTTACGCGGCAGCGATTAGTCAACGCGAAAAAAAATTACACACGCACCGTTCAATGGAGTGGTAAATTAAAGAAGTGGGAAAATACGCCGTTTTTATTTATGAATGTGATAATAATATGAACCTTTAGCGCGCACTCGCACGATTATTTCTTAATTCGTGTTTCTAACCTTGAAAATTACGAACTTTCATACAACCATTTATACATTATTTTACCCCCTTAGTAGTCAAATTTCCTAAAATCCTTTCTTAGTAGATGTTTTCAACATTAAGAGCATAGGCTACCAAAATTTCAAATTTGTAGCCCCAAGCGGTTTAGTCTCCCCCTTAATGAATCAGACAGTCAGGTTAAGTAACTTTATATTTATAGATAGATTACAAAACTTTAAAAAAACAAAAGTAGAAAAATATTTGGTATAAAAAAACAAGGCCAGCAAAGAGTTTGGTTCTAAACCAAGTTGAAATTCGAAATGTTTATTCATTGAACCAAAACTGTAAAGAGGCACTTAGTAAAACTACTTTAAAGCAGATCTTTATACAATTGGAACCGATTCAATTTAACGTAATCCCGATCCCATCCCATTCATTCGCGCTAAGGACTCAGGCAACCACAACGAACTTGCCGACACTGGTTTGAAATTCGAACGTCACTTTCCAGTTCTTTAGGACTCGTAAAAACACCGGAGAATTACTTATTTTCAAAATTCGAACTGAAAAGTTTAAATAGCATTTTGTAACTTGAGAGTTTTAAAAAGCATCCTTCGAATTTGAACACTATGTCGATGGCGTTATAACTGAATTTAAATAAATTTAAAAAATACTCTATTGTTTACCTGCCACATCGGCCAGCCTCTTACGATTTTACCTTTTTAGGTTTTTTTTCGCCTTTGAGGGCCAGGTTTCTTTGTTTTGCGCCTATTGTTCGACGGATGTTTATTTTGAACCTTTTTTTTAAAAAAGGGAAGGACCATTCATCAGAGACATTCATTGAAGTGTCGGTGAATTTATGAGTGATAGGGTTATGCTTTTAAAATTCTATTATGAATCATTAATGTCTTGAAAATGAGAGGCTTATAAGAAAATGGCTGACCACTGAAACAGTTATGAATACATAGTGGTTAGATATTAGTTTAAGTAAAACAGAATTGTAATTGTATGTCTCCATAGGAGTCCAGGCTATAAGAGAACTCGGTTTTATCCGTTACAAAAATAGAGGTACGTATTTACCATTTAATACAGGGCGTAAGAGCTACTTAAGTCGATTCACGTAGATGATATATTAGTTCCGTGTCAGTATGAAATTTATCTAGAATATATCTATTTTAGTAATTAATTCAAAGGTTTTTTAAAGAAATATTATTGAAAGTTAAATAAAGACTTAAGATATAAAATAGAAGTTCCTGAAATTTGTCAACATCGCTTTTATTGTATCTCTCTCAGAAATGCAATGAATCTTACTTTGTGAAAACAATTTTAAGTCGCGGAATGTTCTCATTGAATTTTACAATGAAATAATCGCACTCTAATAAATTATGCGATTTTACTTCCTTTGGCCACTGAGCGATAACTTATTTTCAAAGAATTTGATTAATTTAGTTATTTTTAATGATTATAGAATCATTTAAAATTGGAATTCACCAATCACTTTATCGGTAAATTAAACTCCGTAAATTTATTGAATTTCTCTTTTGTCATTTGTCCACCACTGTCGTCTATGGAGCGTCAACGAGAAAGATGAAAACGATGTGTAATGTATTAAATGAAGGTATTATAATTTATTCAAAATCAGTATTTCAAAAAAAAAGGAATACCCTTCGAATCTTTTATTATTTTCAAATTGATTGATATTTCCTCGTACTCTTTTTTTTGAAATACTGATTTTGAATAAATTGACAGTTTTCAAAAAGTAAGACAGTTTTCAATAAACAAGTGCAAAGAATAAGCGCGTAAAGTGTTATTAACTGCAATGAATTAAGTTCAAAAAAGGAACGCAACATATTTAAGTTTAGTGGCACCAATCCATTGTATAAAGAGGATTGCACACTATAAAATTCAAAAGAAACACATTTTCATTCGTACCCAGATGGAAACATAAAGGAGTACTCCCATTATCCATTTTTATCGTATCTTCATACAATGGAGTTCTATATAAATAATACGTGAACTTTATACTTTGGACGAGTTGAGATATAAATCTTTCAATAATCGATGTTGCTTCTGTGTTTATTTATTGCATCGGTGCCGAAGTATCGAACTATCGAGATGTATTTTTTCGCTTGATAATAACAATGGATGATTTATAGTTTTACGGCTAAGGGAAGGCTTTGTTGTGAAGTCTGAATACAGAATGATATTTAATCAATGTAAAACAGTGAATCATTTGAATATGTTTTCAGTTTCATCATGATTTGAATATATAATCATATATTTTTCACCTACTTAAAGAAGTCGTTCGGCAATATATGATTATATAGAGATGATTATTGCAGGAATATACAAAGCTGAATACTTAACCAAATAGGTAATGTTTTAGCTTCTGTAATATTATGAATTTCTAAATCGAAAGAAGCTGGGACACTATTTTTACCACATGAATAAATGGTCTCTAGACTGTTATAGACTCCCAGACTTCCACTTGGCTCTAGCCAAGAAAAAGGGTCAAAAAAAACTCTTTGTAATAACTACTTTTCAAAAGTAGCCACACACTAGATTTACTGGTGTATATTCCTACGTCAAGGCCACTAAGACTTTTCTACACAATACACACAATTGGAAAATGCTAACTACAAACAAGTTTTAATTAGTACATAAAACTAAAAATGGTGAGCCGATGGTATACCAAGAACACAAAATCAACAAACTGTACCGCTGTGCACTATAAGTTACGCTCGTAATGTACTCCAGATTGTACCTTACAATTTCTTACCCAAAGTCCGCCCAGACGTAAATGTACAAGGACCTTAATAACTATTCTCACACACACATACACACGCTAAATAAACACATACAAGCATTAACTCTTACAACGTCGCACTCTTTTCGTGTAACAAAATATGGTAACAACCCTTCAATGCTACGTAACGTTTACATACGTCGTGTATCGTGGACCAAATAAGGCATTATTGTGGTGTTTGAACATCGTGTTGGCTTAGGTCAATTTTTATGGACGATATTTACTGAGTACACAAATCGTTGCGTTTATTTCGTTACGAAGTGTTTGCGGTTTGTAACTATTCGATGACGATATCTTGGAATTTATTGTGTGATGTGATGATTCGTCTATTCGTAAGGCGTTTTATAACTTAAATAATGGCGGATAATTTATTTAGTGAGTTCAATCTTTTTTGCATAAATATTTTGATAAATTGAAATGATTTTCATCATTCCAATCATCGTTAATGAACATAATTGAGCGTATTATTATCCACTGCTAAATAGGCCTCTACTAGTAACCGCCACTGAGTTCGATCATCAGCTCTCCTTATTCATTATTTTTGTTATAGATTTTATAAAACTGCATATATTTTTAAGATTATATTGTTATAAATAAAGAATATAAATATATGAACAACATATACGCACGACCTTCTCTTTTTGTTTATATATATCCTCTCCTCACTCATAAGGTTCGTTGGGAGAGAACTTAACTATAGGTTAAGCTCGCCTTTGTACGGACCATTCGTAAATAAGCTGTAAATGTTTTGTGTGTACAAACGAATTAAAATATCCGGACTAATGCGAGTCGGACTCGCCCACTGAGGGTTCCGTACACATTTTAGATACATATTATAAATAGTTCCGGAATCGAATCTAGAAGTTTTTTCCGAACTTTGCCCGAAATTCAGTTTCCAAAACCTTACATATTCTTGAGTTTTATAAGAGAAATTGTACCTCGATGATTGATTACATACTTTAAACAAAGACTGTATTTTGTATGATTTATTTAGAAATGTATAGTTTTCAGATTTGTCCCTACATTTGTAGTATAAGAAGATGTTACTTGACAAATTTAAGAGTTATAGGTCAACTGGAAGTACCCTATGGATTTTGATTCCCTTGAGACTGTCGAAATATGCGTTTTTTTGCTACATACGCGAATATCTTTTTTTTACATTTACTTAGGAGTTTGTTTATTTAACAGCTTCAAGGGATCGTAGACCTGAGTATATGGATTTAATTTCAACTCGATACCTCCACATGTTCCACTTAACAGACAGGCAGACGGACAACAAAGTGGCCCTATAAGGATTACGTTTTTTTTTCATTTTGGGGTACGGAACCCTAAAAATAGAATATGCCATTGTGTTCTTAAAAATATGTAAGATAAGGTTATATTATTTAGTAAATAACAAAGCGTATTATATTACCGTTATATATTTCGACTCTAATTTAAATTCAAGAATATTATAAGCTTAATAAAATGCTTATAGATATGTTTAATATTCTGACACAACGAATATGCCCAACCGCACCTACGAGAAAAGAGGGAGGGAGGCTGTTGCAACTCTCTATTCTTACCGAAGCAGGCAAATTTTTCTTTTTTGGGGAGGTAAGAGACCTATTTATAATTACTTTTAAAACCCTTTTTTACATAATCATACAAAACGTAAGGGTTCAACTGCCCATCTGCCTCTGTCCTCCTGGGTTCGCTTATGTACCCAAATAAAGTGTAAAATGTTGAAAATGTAAATTAGCAACTTTTCATTATACCTTAGAATTTATACTACATTAGATTAAAACTAGTTAAGTTTAACATAAAACATTCAAACAATAAATCAAACCAAAGCCAAACGCAAAAAATAAACAAAAACCACGAAAATACGACAACCGCTCGCGTATCCAAATATCGATCTTTCGACAGACGAAGAATCAGAAGAGACGGAATCAGAATCACCAGAATTGGCGGTATTGCCGGGTTTGCCAGAATTGGCAGCATTGCCGGAATTGCCAGAATTACCAGTATTGCCAGAATTGCCGGAATTGCCGGTGGTTCCGGACTTAGTGGAATTACCGGAATTAGTAACAGAAGAACTACCGCCGCCGCCACCTCCGCCGCCAGTGCCAACAGTCAACAATACTGGGCACTTCATTATACGTTATTTAACACGTAAGTTGCTATTCTAACAGATAAAGATATTTCTGTTACAGGTGGTGCTGTTGCTGGAGAGTCCTGTGAGCACCTCTATTTGTATCAAGTGATTTTTATGTTATACGTTCCATTGAGTTTATAGTTTTATTTTTTATATTCATTACTGGCAGTAAATAATAAATAAAAGCGGTAGTAAACGAAAAACCAATTAAACAAATACAATATTAGAATCACTCCCATTTTAAACCCTATTATTAAACACCTTAATGCTTGTGAAAGGCTTGTGTATTTAAAGATCATCAATCACCATGTTTCACAAATGATTCCAATTACTTCCTGTACTCCGATACTCCGGTACTCAGATATTCCATGTCATAAAGTTCGAAAAATCAACAACAAAGCGAAATATTGCGATCAATTATTATCGTGTATTCATTATTCAGCTGAACAGGATGAAGCCCTTTGCTTTTATCTTTTGTTTCACTCGTAATATGTATCGTAGGAATGCTTCGATATCGTAAAAAGAACCGATCAAACGAGGTACAACACTATCCGAATTTGAATAAAGAATTAGATTACATTTAGATTATTAGATTAGATGATGACATGAAAGTTATATAGATGCTATTTGGTGTAAGGTTTAATAAATGTGTCGGCAATCATTATTATTTTACAAGTGATCTAGCTTTAACTATTTATTTGTGAATAGAACTGTAAAAAATATAAATCAAAAAACAGTTAATAAGACTCTAGATACTCGACTAAAAGAAAGGTATATAGTAGGAATGTGTCAGTTTAGCAGCTCAAACAGAATACTCAGCTGTATGTGAGTCAATGTTATATTCACTTCCAACGTACAGACAAGATCGAGAATGTTGGTCACGATATCGTGATACATATTTATCAAATATGTATTTATATGACGAAACCGTGACCAAAATTCACGATTTTGTATCAAAATTTACATGTGAAATATAAACAAACCCGTCCAAATGTTGTACCCGTCCAATTGTGAAATTCATCAACTAAATTACACAAATTCATGAACGAAAACATACGAGTAACCAACCGCAAAACAAACCGGACATTTTTATTTCAAATTACTACATCGATGTAATCGATTTATGACGTCATTGGATTTAATTTTATTGTGCCGGGACACATTTGATTACGTACCCAAATAGAGTTAATCGAAATGTGCATACGCTGTCGGAAGGCATATATCCGCCTAGGCAATTTATGACAATAATCTCGACGTATCCGCCCATAACCGGTTTTGCAACTCCAATAGAAGTGTATTGCGTTTAAACTGCATGAAATTCATTATATTAATCTGTACGTAACTATTCATTCATTTATATAATTCTATTTGGAACGCGATGACAACAGAAAATTGAACAGAAAATTGAAAATAAATCGTTACATTTTTGGAGCTTAAGTTAAACTAAGTTGATGCCTTTTTAAAAGTTAAAATTATAATCAAATTAATCATTTGTATTTTACAAGATACGTCAATCATTGTAGAAAATCATTTTTTGTTTTGAAAATCAATTTTTCATTTTACATATTTCGTAGTTTCTAATCACAAGCAATAAAAATACTCCGAAAAGTCAGTTGTTAGCCTTGACATCAATCTTAAATTAAAACCATTCATAAAAAATAAACATAATCCGCCATCCTACCATCAAATTATACACTCATCAGAATCCTTTTAATTTCGCAATTCAATTTCAAACGGTGACGTCTAGTTACGTCATAATTTAATCTGGCGCGAATAATGAGACCAAAAAATCCGCCATTTTTATCAGAATGCGTGCATCGGCACGTCCTGGGCCGTTTCAATCCCTCTCACATACAACGTGATCATTCACCCCTGCCGTGGAGGTATAAACATATCCGTCATAGTTTTCCCCCCTTTCCACCGCAAACGTGATTCAAAAGCAAACATAGGATATGATATAAATAGTCCAGGGTTGTGCCACAATTTGCATGCTGTTTATGGTAATAATAATATGTTTTGATTTTTTGTACGTCAAATAAAACGTAGAAAGTCTACAACAACATTAAAAGCTATTGATGTAGTAAAATTTTGAGGCATATAAGACATATCACATACACAGTGCTTCCCAAAACTAAACTCAGCAGAGCTTGTAGTAGGGATTCTAAAACACGTATAAACGTATGGTTATCCCGTTTTATACATAATAATATAAATATAAGTACAGTCAACCCAATGCAAATAGTGCTATACATAACAAACAAACATTTGCACTAAGCAGAAATCGAACCCGCAACACTACGTAACAGTGGAATGTACTACCGCCGCGGCACAGAGATCTGTGTTAAAATGACAATAAATCAAATGGCTGATTTTATTTTGTTGTTCTGTTGGAACACGTTTGTGTGTGTATTGTTATATTTGAAGGCTCCGTACAAAACCACACTCGCTGTTAGCATTGCACAGTCAACAGTGCTATCAGTTTTCATAGGAATCAATAACAACAGATGGTTATGTTAACAAATAATTGTGATATCTGAATTTAAACCTTCTGTATCAAAATTTTATATTCAATTTTGTTTGTAAATATTTGTTGCCTTCAATTTTCGAATATTATTGCCAGTCCTCAATATTTTAAAACAACCCGGCCACTACTTTCACTAGCAACTCCTGGTAGCTGTAGTTTTATTTTTACTTGACGGGCCTGTTGGTCTAGTGTTAGTGCCCTGACTGCTAATAGCCGGAGGTCGTGGGTTCGATTCCCACCCAGGACAAATATTTGTGTGATGAACACGATCGTTTGTTTTATGTCTGGTGTAATTTTTCTATAACATGTATGTATTTAGAATTATATAAGTATGTATATGAACAGTCTGGTTATCACAGTACAGGCTCTCAGCCGTGTATGAGATGTGTGAGGTTATTATTATTATTTATTACTATTAAATAATTAACATTCTTTTTTTACTATTAAGTAAGCGCGAATTCATTTCTTTTCTTTCGTCTTAAGATAAAGCTAAATCTAATCTTCGTGAAGCCAGAATACATTTTACCAAGTCAAGCTACTACCAAACTGTTCTTTGTAAAATTTCATAATGCACTAACTTGTTGACGTAATTTTTACATATAAGTAGTCGTGCAAAAAACATTATATATTTTCCGGAGTTAATATAGGTTATTATGTACAAAAGAATATTCAGAATCCGATCAGTAGTGTCAGAGATTACATCCGAACCTATATTATTAGCATAGCTGGTCAGACCGGTGTGACTCGATCCTCACAACGAATTTGATTATAGGCAGTGCGTCTGAGATATAATTGGACATTGAATGCGCGATCATTAAGTCTGACAGCGGATATTGCGCGCCGGATTTAGATGGCATTTTTATTTGCACTGAAAATGAGTGGCTGTAAACCTGATTGCCGACCGTTCAGTTGGAGATGGCATTGAAGGGAATATTTTTGTAAAGATCCAGGATTTTTATTATGAGGAATTTTAATATGATTGGGTAATTGGTTTTGTTTGTTTGGCTATGTTTATCATCTACAACCGTATATTTTACAAAGTCATATTTTTATTATCGACTGATTTTGAAAATAAGGATATGTTTTATTTATATACTCTATCTTGTCCAACTCTGGGCAAGGGCTGCTGCTTATCTCAAACCAAATGCGAGTAATATTGTTCGATCATAAAAAAAAATTGCCTTTTTAAAATGTCACTCATTATTCTTTCAATGGTGAGGCCTTCACCATTAATATTTAAACAATGTAAGATAGTAAAGGTTCACAAAACGTACGCAACTCAAGTACGTTTATTAATGTCAAATCGATCGCTTCGCCAGAGGGTCTGTTGTAATATAGAGATAGAAAACTAAATAGGATTTCATTTTCTAGTTCACGAATCAAAAGCTCCCACGGCGTTCGTCCAATGTTCTTTCCGAGAACCTTTTAGATTCCGGTTCGTTGGTCGGGTCAGGAAGTCCCCAGTATACATAATTGTTTCGTATTTTTCGTCAAAATAACGCTATTAATCCTGGAGAAAGTAACGAGAATATAGTGTCGCCATCGTCCTCGTAATTTCGCGGAAGACAATTCTAACCAATTTCTGCTGTGTGTTATGTAACAAAAAGTTTCCGACAAGTTTCTACGACTTTTAGTTGGCAGAATTAAATTTATTTGTCGCTGCTCTGAGTGGGTTGCTTTCGAGTCTAGTCGCAAATTAGATCTAACTAAAATCGGCTGCACCTGAGAGTACAACTGTACATTAGGTTTTATTTTTATTTTTTAATAATAGTCGTTAAAGAGTGATTAAATTGTTTGAAGATGACAAAGTTAGAATAAGGAATGAGACTATAAAAGGAAAATTTTATTTACAAGAAGTAATTGGAATTAATTTGAGTGTTTGCTTAATTATTCTTGAAATTAAGTTAACTTATAAAATATTTTTAAGAATTTTGTAATTAAGGTAGCCATGTATGAAAATGAACAAAGGAAAGTACTTGATTACTGACATAATATTTCGCGGAGTAAATATTTTTTTAATCTTATCGTTAACATTTTCTTTGAGCAGAATAGTACATTGTGCAATTATTTACTAATTGTAAAGATTTACAAAACACAATTATTTATACCTTTTTATTTAGTTATTTTAATAATTGTTTTAATCGTTAAATGGACTGTAAACGTGTTTTATTCTAAATTAAATGCATATTTTAACCCACAGGTACATATGTACCTGTGGGTTAAAATATGCATTTAATTTAGAATAGAATAGAGATAAATGTTAATCAAAAACCAACCACAACATTAGTTTCATAAGATTAATTATCGCCCACAGATCCGCCCGAGATCACCATCCGGCCGAGAAACCTGCAAGTCCGCGCCAGTGGCATCGCTGCCTTCTACTGCGCTGCTAGAGGCGACCCCATACCTAATATACAGTGGAGAAAAAACGGGAAACGAGTCTCTAGTAAGTATTACACAAGTTACTTTAATATTGTCAAAGACATTCGATGTTGAAAAATGTACGCTATTTTTTCTGGGTGTCACTCCACCAATATACCAAAATATCTGTAAACTGCAATTTATATTTTGAGTGTTTTGTGATCATGTGGTATTTAGGACCGTTTAATAAGGAATATTTCATAAGTAAATATTATTTAAATACAATACAAAGACAAATTAGATATAGATCTAATTAGTGTAAGACGTTTCTTAGAGGAAAATAATGTGCGTATCTAATTGAAATCTATTAGGTATTAGGTTTGACTGGCAAGCTAAGAGATTTTCTAGCTTCTTCAAAAACAGTGTATATGGTGATATCATTGTAATACAATTGTAACGTATGTATTATTTATTATTGATTTTGAGTGCCTACTGCTAGGTAGGTACTTCAAACATAATTGACCTTTTGCAACGCACTGTTATGTTATTACGCGTTGCTTAGGGTTATGGTTTTGAGAACACTCTATATCTTATAAACAGTGTTTGTTTATATTTGTGGTAATATTTCCTAGAAGATTTTTTATGGCATAGGCTGAAACGAGCAGATGGTTCACCTAAGTTAAGTGGCTATCACCGATCATTGAGACTCATTTTGAGGCCCTCCTTTCTCCAGAATAAGGAGAGGGAAATAGCAGGTTTGGGCCGTGGCCTCGCTGATCGAGCTGGCTCCCCATAAGTTGATGCTTTGGTACCGCTTTAGAAAACCACAACCGAGAGATAAAGTGGTCCAAAATTAATCCGTTGGAGATGTTCTTTTGATTATTTGATAATATGGTCCTATATCAAAGCTATAGGCATATTAAAAAATAGTGATCCTACATATTGGTGTATTGTTATATTCGACATCTGTGTTTTCATCAATTTAATTAATCTTGGACTGATCTACAATCTTATGTGTGTAGCTTCAGTGGTTTAAAAACTCGTGACAAGGTTAGTAGAGATATTTATTTCAAGCTGTATTTCGTATTATTCTAACATTTCATGGAATCTACGTAAATTCCTGTGTACAATATAAATTATTCACAAGTCAGGCTGTCAGGCAATGTAACATCTTAAAATACTACGAATTAAGACTCCGTTTCTTTACTATCCTTTTTAATTTACTTTATAGCATCAAGTCAAAATTTAAAACGGCAGGCTTTGCATGTTTATCAGGGCACGGCATAATTAATTATGCCATTTTTTATAATTCTTTTCAGATATTCAGATCACGATCTGACAGATTGTATTAAGTTTAAAAATAATAAAAACAAAGATGTACAAAGCTACAGAGTACAGCATATTTATTAATATGCATCGGGATAAATCCTTTGTCAATTTTTACGGCTTCCACGTGAAGCGATGTAGAAACGCAAGAACCTTGTACATAAATAACTTAACACACTCGACCTTTCGAATGAAATATCGATATTGGTAATATACGTGTTCCTGATATGAATAGTAATAGGTCCGAAAATAGTTTCGTAAAATATCAGTTCATTTGTGTTGATTGTGTAGAACAAAACCGCTGGGTTACAACATTTCATATAGTATTTGTTTTTTGTTTTTGTTACTTACTGCACAGTTCAACGTATCCGGAAATTTAATATTATAATTTGTACGTATCATGAACCCTCCTAATCTGTAACTACTTACATCAAGAAGTGGATTTGTAACTAAAGTCATGGTGTAGTGTAGTCACCGTGCTATTTAACACGTGTAAAATAATCAAATTACATAATCTGTTTTATTGTTGGTATCAATTTAGTTTTACTTCAAACTGAAAGAATTAGTTTTATTGACATAAGAGCTTGCTTAAAAAGTAAGCATACATTTGTAATATTATGTCTCAATAGAGTTTATTTTGTTACATTTATAATAAATTCCCTAGACGTTTTGACTAATTCCGATCTGTTGTTCAATATTATTGTTGTAAATAGACAGAGTAACATTTTTTCTATATCTAATAATATAGTTTTATATGTAACTTACTCTTATATTAGAATTTTCTTAGTAAAATCAATAATATCCCGCTTTCAATGTTTTTATTTAAATTTTTCACGACAAACGATTCTGAACGGCCTCTAGGAAATATATTATCGTGTCCACAAATCCAATTCACACTGCATAACACCCACAATTTTTATCCTTGATTGAAATGTAAAGCCCCGATTTTAACCCATAAATATCTCGACCGGTAATGACGACTATAAGCCTAGAGCAATGAGCTGAAAAAACGTATCGTCGGCCACGCACGCGAAACCCTCCTTGCCGTCCGCCATCCGCTCTCCCTCTGAATAGTTCATCGGTTTCTATGAAAAATGTAATCGTACATCATCCGTGAGAAGCTATCGACCATAAAAGAGTAATAGTGGCGTTTACACCCATCGGTCTCATTCGATATTCAGCGTTATCAAACTTACTTACGATTTGTCTTTTGTTGACGTCCGCGATTCATCAAACCATGTCGTCAGCCATATTCGGGCGGCATTCCTTTAAGGCATTCGATTGTTTTGTTTTGAAAATTGTATGATTTTTCCATTTTTCTTTTTGAGAATAGATTATTTGGTTTTGTAGGCTGATTTTATATTTGGTGAACTGAACTGTATAAGCGTTTTTTTTGTAACAATTTAAACATTGTCATGTAAGTGGGATTTAAGGGTGTTACTAAAAGGCTTTTCTTGTCATTTCAAAACACGAATTATAGTTTAAAAAAGTTTATTCTTGTTAAAAGTTAAACTTGATAAAACGTTTGTTGAAAATAACATTTCTGTACTTATATTAATTTGAGATATATAAACCTTGTTTATACATTAAGGAAGTGAATATAATAGAAGTAAAACAAAAACAAAAGAGGTAACGTAAAGTAACCTGTTGGTAATGCCAGTCATTTTATTTAACTACCCTGTTTGTCTACTCTAGTGGGACTGCTGGCCCGAGGTCGTGGATTCATTTCCCACCGTTTTTCTGTATCTGGGTGTACTTTATTTATAATATGTATCTATTTAAAACATAAAACTATGTCTAATTAGAAATATATGTGCCCGAGTGAAACTCAAATTGTAATCTGCAAAATGTGAGCGTTTAAAACGCTCCTGTCTACCCCTTCAAAAAATTTAATAAAAAGAATGTTTCTCAAACTGTTTAAATTGTTTGTCTGTTATATAGTTGAACACGTTTGCGCGCCATGTTTTATTGTCTATTCCAGTTGCTGTTTCACGAGCTGTTTTTATGACGGTTTTTATTTTGACAGTTCTTTTATTGAGTGTTTAAAGACGCTTGGAATAGTATGCCGAAATAATATTGCCGGTGAATAGGTTTTTGATAGGTCGATCGCTCTTCATCTTAAAGACTTTAGATGTGATGTGTGTTATGTTAATATTTGTTATTTGATATTGAATGTTACATGCGAGAGCAACTGGCCCCTGTTCTGGATCTTGTATCTCTTCCTACAAAAAAAATCCCCCCTTCTCTTCTTCTTCTCTTCTTTTTCCCCCCTTCTCTTCTTTTTCCGAATCAAAAGCTGGGGATGTCTTAAATTATTATTGTTTCATTGAAAATTAAAGAAATATACATTTTGTCAATTAAACTAATCACACTTTTAATCGCATGTGTAAAAGAGATATCAATTTATCTATACAGGTTTAAAGCGCTCTTAATTATTTACATTGCGTATCTGTGTCCAACCTTAATTACATAATAATTAATTAAGTAATACGCCCTGAGTTTGTTGGCCCTATCTTCTCATAAGGCTCAACTCCTTAAAAACGGGCGTTTGTAGATCGTCGTAGGCATATCATAGATTTTGTATAAGTATATTTTTTATTAAATTTAATTTGCTAACTATTTGACATAATAGAGATTGTTGCTATTGTGTGTGTTGGTCTACATAATAGACGATATCAAACAATTTTAATTTTGTTATGAGATGAAGGTATTTTGAGTTTTAAATAGCACCTTAAAAGATAGGCAGTTTGTGGAGTATTTTTCTATTTCATTATATTACGCATTAAAGAGACGTATTTCAATATAAAATTTACGTGAAATTACGTAAGAAAAGTTTTTAAACGGTCGAATTTATAATATAAACCTTAATTTAATTATTCCTCGGACCTTCAAAGACGCCTTTTAACCCCGGTCTAAACTTTGACAGTTTCGGATCTTTAAGTAATGACTTTGAAACGCTGTCCAAAGAATTCTCCTTAAAAAATCGGTTCTACATTCCATTTAATTCTAATTTGGAACACTGACACCGATGTAGTAAATTCGCTGATAGCCGTATGTGGTCCAATAGTTGCCTCGGGCGAAATATTTTTTGTGACATCTAAACTGTTACAAATATTTGTTTTTATATTTTATTTTTGTGTGTTGCTCCCGCAAAATATCTTTTTGTTACCAGAAACGCAGTTTATATAAAAAGTTTTTGTTTTTTTTTTTTTTTTTTTAAAGACAACTCCCGCATTAGGAATATATCCTGTATCGCGGGGGACTTTACAAACATACATAAAACACAAAGAACACCCAGACTCAGAACAACAATTTATGGATCACACAAAGTGTGGGGTTTGAACCCACAACACTCTACTACTACGCCATCCGTGCAAAAGTATTTATAAGAGTTTTAACTTTATATAAGTAAAGTAATGTAAATATCTGATAAATATGTGTAAATGAACTTGAAAGTAAAACTTTAAATCAAAATTACCAACTTGATACATACGTTTGTGTAGTTTTTTTTAAATATTAGTGTTGAGTCAAAGTGAATTTGGTCCTATTTTAGAAGGGCTAAAAGTTGCTTACTTAAAGCAATTAGTTACTGAAAATGTTAGACTTTAAAACTGATAGAATTTACTTTTGATTTTATAATATTTAGATAACTTTGTGAGAAACCTTTCATTTTAATTGAATGTACACTAAATAGTTTCCAAGTCTCAGTCAAAATAAAAAATGTAAATTTAAAAATAATGTAAGTAATCGGATAAACAA